ATCCAGCAGAAGCTGCGCAAGGGCGCGGGCATCGCACGTGTGTCTGTCTGCTCGAGCAGCACTGCTAACCGCGCACCGCCCTTGTCATAGAGCCCAGCCCCCGACCTCCCCACCGTTCCCAAGTCACATCCACAACATAGCTTTAGGCAAGCCGATTTCACGAGGAGTAGAACAGTAACTCACCAGTGCTTTCAGGCTCCTCTGGCTGCGAGGCCGGACTCTTCACTTACAGCATCGGGAGTGGTGACTGCATCTCCGAGGTCCCATAGCACAAATGGGGGCTGCATCCACTGGGGTCCTGCAAGGCTGCCGGCAGCTCATGTGGAAGCTATTCCTCATGGTGTTACACCGCTGGTGGTGGCATACGGCCCCAGGTCCCACTCGGTTGCCAGGCACCTCAGAGGTAGTAACGTTTTTGAGGGCTTTTCAGGATCGTTATTACAGCTATATCATAACACTCTCTCTTTTGAAATACTTCCACATCGAGGAAGTTTCTTTTACAGTTGAAAATAATTTGAGGTGGTAGCCTAGGTGTTACAACTGTATTAATTGTTCAACACATACTTCACTGTTTAAGAAAAAGTAAAACCAAACCATTTATATCGTTGTACTCTTGTGTTTGGTCGGTGACAGATAGGTAGACCTGACCGACTACTTAAGAGCCAATCCTAGGATAGGCAATAGTTAGGATTAAAAGAGGAAATGCTATCATCAGATTAGAATGGTCATTCCCCCATTCCTGTTTGATTGGAATTACTTAAAGAAAAATAGGAGGATAAAGAACCAGAAAGGATGTTCTGGGATGGGTTGAGTCCTCTGCCACTGCGGGTGTCATAACCGAGTTCATAGACTTATCAAGCTTCATTCTAAAAGATGCCAGATTCTTTTTCCTTCCAAGTACGTATTCAGATTCTTTTGTTTTAAACTGACAACATCTGTTAAGACAACTCCAGAAAACAGAGTAGACCCTTTTAAAACTACACACTTGGCAGACTTTGTTGCTGACTAGATATAGCCACCAATAATTCTCTAGTTGCAGTTACTTCATAAACACAGGAGCAATTTAAATTTTGTGTAATGTGGAGAATCCAAAACCAAATTGCTATGCACTTAAAGTTAGGTTGAACTTAGGAAGTCAAACTCAGTTGTTGCATAAAAGTCATGTTTTAAGTAACGAAAGACAGTGGAGAAAAAGTTAATAATGGCTGTTAATCTTTATTTGAACTCTTGTCTGGTTAAGATATTTAGTAGCTATTTATAATAACAACCTGAACATTTACAATTTGGGAAGTTTATTCTTGGTTACAAATGCAGAGTTCATTATACATATTCACACAATTGTAAAAGCAATCTGTACAGAGAGACCATTTTTTAAAATCTAGTCTTTGCTTTTATTACAGAAAGCACAAGAAAAAATATTTTTGGAGGTCTCAAGCTAATGTACTGTCCATTACAGCTTTAAACTAGAAATACATGATGCAGTACTAATTAATACCGTTTTAACATGTTAAAACAATGGATAAGAAATACTGTTATTAATGCCTTCATTTTTTAAAGTAGTTGTTCCCCAAAGAAATGAGTAAATAGAATACTTTTCATGGCACATACATGATTAAAAATTACAAAGAGTTTGCAAATAGAGATGTTAAGTACATTTTCTTTATTTTTAATATCTGTATATATTTCTTTTTAAAGGTGATACATTTTACAGAGATTTAGTCAGCTTTGTATAAAATATCATGTAGATACATTCAAAACAAAACTAATTTTCGCAAGGTGTCCAAACTGCACACACACGCGAATAAGCCCTTTCTCCTCTGAACAGCCTTACTGGAGTGATGCAACCACTCACATAAATAAGGGACATTTGCATAACATGGTAGAGGATTAAGCCCTATCAGCATAATTTCAAAACAAATACGGGCAGATAAAGCACACATTGCATATATTTTTCTAAACTGTATACAAATGAGTGAGATTTTCATTTAGATTTTAAATACCAGCAGGTATAGCTTCTCAGATTATGTTGTTTCAGAAATGCTAGCGTACATGCCAGTTTTAAAATATTTCTATGTCCAAAGTAACTTAATGCAACAGAGCCAGGTGGCTTTGAGTTTTGACTGTGGTGTTTTGTGCTGAACATTCATCATATTGACTATTTTTGATTGTTTTTTAAGGTACCAGAAAAAAGAACCCCAAATAGTAGCACAAAAAGTTGCTACATTATGAAATTGTCTATAAAACAACTGTACTCTGCCTATGAAACTAACCAGCAAACACAACAGGACTCCAACTCACATTCTAGCTGATGGCAATTTACTACCTCTTCTGCTTAATTTGGACATTTAGTGGGTAACGTGGGTGCTTTTGCTTTGCAAAACCAGGTCCTGATCTTTTTATGTAATTGCAAAAATGCAAGTTTGATATGCACCCACCTATACTTAATAACATCATGTAAAATGCACTTTTCAAAGTTAAGCATACAACGCAGTGTTTAACAGCATATAAAAAAGCAAGCAAGTGGTATTAGCGTCATTTACAGATACTTGGGACATCTCCATTTTAAGTTTCTGTTCATTATTATCTACATTATATAAGAAACCACACACAAACACACAAGTGAGCTGACTGTTCCATGAAACTGCACAACTATGAGGCAACTTCTACCAGAACTTAGCGAACAGGGATTGATTGTTGTCCTAAGACATAGGAAAACAGCAAATGTTAATAATCTATTTCTTATTCCACTCTGTTGTCAATAATGCCACTTCTCGTGCATTGAAAACTCATGTTTCCCAGCTTTCCTGTGGTTTTCTCCCAGGCTCTCCACAGTAGTGTAGAGTCATACAATCTATTAAGTCCTTCTTCCTTTCATTTCTAAGCGACAGGTTTTTGGCACTTACTACTTTAGCTGCAGATTACACAATAGTTAGACATCCCTTTTGTTGTGCCATCTATTGGTACACAAGCATATGGAGAAGTTGCAGTAGTTTGCCTGGGGACGTGAAAATACTAGAAGTAATTTTTAGCTTACAAATGTAAATGATAATCAAGGAAAACAAAGTTTAGGAAATGGATTTTTTACTCACTGGTTTGCTTCAGTCTGCAATAGATTCCCCAAAGCAGAGCTGTGAAATATTTCAAACTGTACTAATTACGGTGAGGTTCACTGCAGTGCCAGGGGCACAATTAAAAGGCAGGTGACTCCAGTAAATGACAG